GCCATCAGGACAATATTGCAAGATGCACTTCGCCAGGACCTCAGCAGTGAGCTTCTCTGGAGGTGGCGGAGTAACCTGCAGGGAGGCGGAGGATAATAGGAGGCAGCTGAGAGAGGGATTGTTTGGGATCGGATACGAGGGAGTGTGATTAGGGATTCCGGATTACTAGAGAACCCACCATGCACAGGGGAAACATAATGATAACCTCGGGCTTCCTCGTAATTCGTAGCGATCTTCTCTGGTTCAATCTTTTCTCTCGAGGAAGGTATACCAGTCTCAGTTTTCAGGAAAGGCTTAACGTTCATGAGTGGGATCGTCCGATTACGCGTTTGAAGAGGATAGCCCGAATAAAATTTAGTCTTCTGATGTCATATTAGAATAGGTTAGATCCCAATTATGGAACGTCTGATTCTCACAAGTGCAAATATTCCCCGTAATCTTTCCCCACCTTCTGGCAACTGCAGACTGACGTCTGTTAACGGACTAATATTGAACGATCTATTTTTAATGTGGTTCCTTGGCTGGGTCGATATATTTGGATCAATCCCTGTGACTGAATTACGAGGAGAGGAGTTTGAACCGCTTTCATTCTCCTTGGAATCATTTTCTGTTCGGGTTCTGAGAGTGGAGGTGTGCGTTTTGTGTAGGGTTTCCATTTGCGCGCCTCTTTGGATCCGTGGCGCGCGACTCACTTCCGCTGAGACGCGTTCGGCTCTAGGTTGTTTATTCCCATCTTCTGCGCTGCCGTGCGAGTGTCAGCGGATCGTGCTCGTTTGATGGATAAACGCTGCGTACTTAAGGGAGCTCTAATGGCAGGATGGTGTATACTTGTTCGACAGAGATCCCTGTAGGTTTAGGGCAAAACTGCATGTCGTCTGGAGCTGAGCAGCATAATGTCCGTTACATTCTGTGCTGTCTGACCGCCCATGTTAAAGATGCTGCGGCATTACCACTAAATTATCCTAAAGCTTTACAACCAGAACCGAACTTCTTCGCATCGCATATACTTGGATATCTTTATGTACTGATGTGCTGTCTGTAATCTGTGACATGTACAGTAGCTTTCCTACGTCGGGCAACAATAAAACGAACACTTGCTGAGAACGTCGGGCGCGGGTGTTCATGACAAAGAACAGTATGTTGTATCTAACAGTTAGGGCTTAGATTGCTTCAAAAACACCAACCGACAACAGGACCTGCACCTCATGTTTCAAGACCCTTACAAATACCGTCGCCTATCTTAGTACACTACACAACAACCTTTTCAGTTATAGTTCTTAGGCGCTCCTCCGATTCGGCGATGGGGTTACGCCGACTTGCGCCCCGATTCGCTGCCGCCTCGCTAACGATAAAGCAATACATGGGTTGGTCCACAGCACCTGATCCCGCCGTACTCTCTCTACACTAATATTCTCTCCCTCTCAGCTTGCAACCTCGCCAGAACCCCCTCTACAATTTTCACCCAACCCCATACAGTACCTCATATCCCTCTGTCAACACCGCTTCACATTGACCCTACCTATGCATAAACTAAATACTATTGAAAACAAAATATATTTTGAATTGCTTCTTTTACACAAGAAATTGATAATTCATTTAATGATTGAAATAGGAAAACCTAAATGATAAATAAACGTGTGGGCCATCTATGGATGAACAGTGTCCAATCAAACTTTCAGAAAGCTCCTATGGTTGTAGAAGTCAGTGAGGGTCGCTTTGGATGTATAAGTAATTGTAATAGTTCAGATAATGTAATTTAATAATCTAGTCAATGAGCTCTAGTCAGTGAGACTACAGTTAATTCTAGCTTTGCAAGTTATAATGTGTGACATTTAGTAAATTACTTAGTGTCTATTAACGTACTCTACAGTGGGAAAAATACTTTATAAAGTATAATGTATGTAAAAAACAAAACACACAATCTGGCACATATTAGCACTGAATACCTAATAGACATTTTAACTATTTGTAACACAGTTGCCATTTTATTATTTCTGATTAGCATTAGAGTGTGTAAAATAACTCATTAATTAGGCATCTCATGTCAGTGTGGTACATCTTTTTTGCAATGTTTGGTTCAATTGTTTTAAGTCTTTCAATTGTTTATAATTCAGGTCAGATTTGCATTTTATGGAAATGATTTCAATCTTGCTTTTATTAAAAATTAAAACTGCTTTCATTAAATCTAGCTATGAGATTGAGAATAAATGTTTGACATTCATAATTTGATGTATCCATTTCAAAAAGTTATTTTTAAAGCTTGGTCTAAATGTAAAAAACAGTTAAACCAGTAATGATGACAGAATCCAAAATTAATTGTTCATTGTCATGATGGTTATGGGTTTCACTCTGGATTACATTGATTGACAAACCTATTATTATGTGTGCATCTACTTGAGTGATTCTCCACAGGCTATAATGTGGATACTCTAAGAAATCCTCAAACATGTTTTATATTTTGGCTCGTTTTTCACCTTGAATTATTCACATGAAGAGAGTTCTACCTTGATTTTAGTCTATATAAACTTTACCTCAGGCGCATCACAGTCAGTATTTACAAACTTCTACTAAATCAGAGGAGCAAGTAGAGAAACAGGGAGAGTAGCAACACACACCTTCTGTCACCAGAAAGCCACACGCCCTTCAGTGGAGAGGTCAGGTTACCTCCTAAAGACACAAACCTTATCTGTGATCTTCACAGACTGCCCTTTGAAGGGTCAGAGTGAGGCAAGAGTGGAAAAAGCAGATTCCTGGCCAATGTGTCACTTCAGATTTGAACAGGAAATTCTCACCCTAGGGCTATTTTGAATCAGTTTATCTCATCACACACTTTATAATACATGAGACTTTGGGTGGCTACTGTGGCATTTAGTCTGTCCATTTTCAAGTGCCTCTTAGAGAAATTATTTTAATGATAGGGTGGGAGGAGAGCAGAGATTTAACCCATGGAGTTGATTGTTTCCATCTCAGTCACATTCACCAAAATCTTGTAACTTTTTAAAAGTATCTTAGATGGTTACTTTCTACATTTAGACAAGGTGGCTAAAACTTGGCATTGTATACTTCTTTATCATATACCCCTATAATATCACTGCTATCATAATAAAAAAATTTAAATAATAATCTTATCAATCGGAATTTAATGTACTTGTCACTGCTTTGAGAAAATGTTACATTTTCAACTTAATTGTAACTGACATGAATTCTCAAACTTATCTTCTTGATTTCTTTGCATAGTTCTTAAAATTCCCTCATTCATTTTTCTTCTTTATGTAAGTTAACCAGATTCCTCTGATTAAAATAAATGTCTCTTGAAGGAATAAAATATTAAACAATACTGAGCTATATCTCTATGCCAGAGACTGCAATAATAAAAAACTACTCACTATATTGTTCACTGATTCCCTCTCTAATCATGACTTATTGTCTGCATTTTAATGAAAATATTTGTTGTAAATGATTAAAGCTTAAGTTAAACTATGTAGGGAGGTAAAAGCAATTTTTAAGACCTCAACTACTTAAAAATGGGGAGGCCAGAAAACGGAGATTTTTAAAGCATAAGTAAAATGGTACAAGTGCCGGGGCGCGGTAGCTCATGTCAGTGATCCCAGCATCAAGAATCACTTGAACTCAGGAGTTCGAGGCCAGCATGATACACAGGATGAAACCCCTTCTCTTCAAAACAAATACAAAAATTAGCCAAGGATGCCGGTGTTTGCTTGTAGTCCCAGCTGCTCTGGAGGCTGAGGCAGGAGGATCGCCTGAGCCCTGGAGGTCGAGGCTACAGTGAACTGAGTTAGTGTTGCTGCACTGCTGCCTGGGCAACAGAGCCAGATCTTGTCTCAAAAATAAATAAACAAATTTGAAAAAATAAATGATACATGAACATCAGGAAAAATACTATAAATTATCTCATCATATCAAATAAAAATCTTTCATCATTTATTTTCTGTCAAGAAAATGTGGAATGTTTATGCATGATTCTATTGCCCAGGCTGGAGTGCAGTGATGCCATCTCGGCTCACTGTGACCTCTGCCTCCTGGGCTCAAGTGATTCTCCTGCCTCAGCCTCCCGAGTAGCTGGGATTACAGACATGTGCCAAAACGCCCAGCTAATTTTTTTTGTATTTTTAGTAGAGATGAGGTTTCACCCTGTGAGCGAGGATGGTCTCGATCTCCTGACCTCGTTATCCATATGCCTTGGCCTCCCAAAGTACTGGTATTACAGGCATGAGCCACTGTGCCCTGCCATTCTCTAAAATCTAAAAAGTTGGAATTTAAATCCATATTTATTTCTTTGCAATCAGAATTATTATTTGCCCTTCCATCAGAATGGCTAATGTTGGCTAGGTATAGATGTTTTTCTGTGAAATATATTGGAATATATTTTCATAAAATAAATCAATGTTATATGCATATATGCTTGTGTTTATATTGTATCTATTTCTCCTACAAGTAAATTTATTTATATTTACATTTTATTTCATAAACTAGGTTAATTTTTTCTATTAGTCACATTATGGAATTAAAACAATAAAATCATTCACTAAGGATGCCACATAACGTATCATTCACTAATGTTTTCTGTTTCAGTTTGAAGTGCTGATGTCTACCATTGCTACACACATCCACTTGGAGTTTTCCATTAAATAGTGTTAAACTGTAATTGTTTGCTTAATGACAAGGATACTTCTGAGGGATGTGTCTTTAGGCAATTTCATCCTTGTGTCAACATCATAGAGTGTATTTACATAAACTTAGATGATACAGCTACTACACACCTATGTTATACGGAATAGCCTATTGCTCCAAGGATGCAAACCCATCCAACATGTTATTGTAGTGAATAATGTAAGCAATGAAGGGAATGGTAATGTTTGTTTATCTAATCGTATGTAAACATAAAAAACAGTAAAATATGGTTTAAAAAACGTTAAAATGGCATGCTTTTATAGGGCACTGACTATGAATGAAGCCTGCGGAAATGGCATTTTCCCTGGGTGAGTCAGTGAGTAAGTAGCAGTGAAAGTCACGGTCTAGGATATTACAGCACACTACTGCAGGATTCATCAACTCTACACTAGGGTACACTATAGTTATGCAGCA